AAACCTTCTATAATAACCAGCTAATCCCAAGAAGCTTCTAATCTCAGTAGCTGACTTTGGAGTTTCTTATTGCAACACATCATCAACCTTCGATGGATCTACAGCAATGCCACTACCTGAAATCACATGACCAAGAAAACTAACCTCCTCCAACCATCTCAACTTATCACTACAACACAAACAACAGTTAGAACTCAAAATAACAATACTCGATTGTTAGACAACTAAGACTCGACGACAAGGTCGGACCAACCTTTTGCTTTGATACCAACTTTGTAACACCCCAATTCTACCCCAAGCAATTATGCAAAATGAATCAGAGTTACGAAATTTCAATCATACAAATGAATCGGAACGTCAAAAATTCTTCTAATAAATTCATTGCATTCATCATGGATATATAACACATTTTCAAAACATCGGATGAACCATCAACATAACATCTTTCATTAAATAATTCAACAACTACGCAACGGAATTCTTCAATAACATCTTTAAATAAACGACAACTTCGAAACATCTCATATTTAGTAAATAAACAATTTCAAGTTCAACAACTAAAAATCAGCAATCAAAAATCAACAAGCGTTCATCCCCACGAGTGTTACATATCAATGCAATGACACCGACTCGATCTATGGAAGGTATACAACCTTCACTCTCGATTACCTGCACGTTACCAACATAGGGGCAACATTCAAACAGAAGGGGTGAGATATCTAACAATATAACAAAGAGAAAGGCTTCAGTTTCAGATAAAGGGAAAAAGAAGGTTGATTCAACATCCAATCCACTGCTTTCAACTCTCACCGAAGAGCAAGAATCCAGATTTATCAAAGACTTTCAAAGGAAAACTGTATCCAACCCCAAGTATGGTATACTCTCCTCCTTTCCTCAAGATTGTTTTTCCTTTCAGAACGATCTAGCTGCTTATGGTTTGGACCCCTTGATTTCTTCGTACGGTCCATACTACCCGGATTTGGTAAGAATGTTTTTCAACAATCTAACACCCCAAAAAGGCAAAATAGTCACATATGTGATGGGCACTCGTATCTCTCTAACTCCTGAGGTTGTTGGTGAGATCTTGCATATTCCTTTCACTGGAAGCTCCCTATATGATCCTGAAAACGAGATATGGGATGGCTATCAGAAAAAGGGATTCTTTTACAGCATTGGGCTGTTAAGTGAAGCTGAATTTCGCGCCAAACAGATTCATGGTCTTGGCGGAGTAATTCCATCCAGAGACTCATGGAGTGAAGGTAACCTCCATATAGACGATCGCTTATATCATTATTTTTTGGTCTATATACTGTTTCCAAGAGCTGGAAACCATTACACGATTACCGACTTCGAGATGCAGCTTATTTATGCAAGGAAGAGAGGAGTAAATATAAACTGGGCAAGAATGATCATGATGCATATGCTGAGAGTGGATGAAAAGTCTAAATTCCTTCCATATGCTTATTTTATCACTTTGATTATGGAGGAATTTGGTGTGGATTTTCGTGGTTTTGAAAAGGTGAATATGGATCCTAATCTAAACAAAATTTCAATTAAGAATGTTGATTCAAGAATGAGCGTACATTTTAATCCTGAGACAAAGACCATCACCTACATTGGTGAAGATGTTGTTGGCAATGAAAATAATGACCAAGAAGTTGAAGGCGGTGAAGTTGTGCCTTCTCCTCCTACTGCTCCCTCTGGTCCAAGCAATCAAGAGCTCATAGACTACATGTCTCAACAGTTTGCTTATATGAACACCAACATCAACAATCAATGGAGTGCAATCAATGACTCCACTACAACCCGGATAAATGATTTTCACTCGGATGTGAACCAACAATTCTCGTACCTTTATTCTCACCTTCATATCCCACCATATGACCCAAATAACCCAGTTGCACCTCCTCCACATTATACAGAACCTCCACTTCAACAACAATTCCCGAACCAAGGCTCATGGTCTTACAACCATCCGAACATACATCACCCTTAATGTTCTGGCTGACTGTTTTTTTTCTATTATGTTATTTCAATGTTTCGTTTGTTCAATTTTCTGTGTAACTCTTAAACAATTTGTGTTACTGTTTTAAATTCTATAATTTTGTCAATATATTGCTCTATTATTATTTGCTTTAGGCATCTTTCCCTTCTTTTTGATAATGTCAAAGGGGGAGAAAGATGTATGGTACTTTATGCTTGTATTTCATGTGTCTTAACTTTCAAGGTACTCTCCAATCAAGATGAAGAACTGCAAAGGATTCCACCCCTCTCCTACATAGGGGAGTTTTTCATCTTAGGGGGAGAAGCTCTTCCGGAAAGTACATCGCATAAAGCAAGATTGTTTGTCATCATCAAAAAGGGGGAGAATGTAAAATCAAGCTTCACAAATAAGCTTTTGTTTTGATGAAGACAAACCATGGCTAACAAAGAAGGCAAAGATTTATGATCAAGCATCTAAGCATCCAAGGATAATATCTTCATTCAAAGCTCTTAACAACTTTAAAGGTATAATAATATTATGTACTTTGATCTTAAGATATAGATGCTCAAAAATGAAAAAGAAATGTTTAAGAATCATTACTCAAGCTTTTCAAAGATAAAATTTCATTTTTCTTCTGCAGGCAATCGATTTACATCTTAGTGCAATCGATTGCACACTTCAAAATTTCAGATATTTTGCTTCTGTTTCTTTGTGCAATCGATTTACATTACTTATGCAATCGATTGCATACTTAAATTTTTCAAAACTTTTGCTTATGTTTCTCATGCAATCGATTTACATTGCAAGTGCAATCGATTGCACTCAGTTACTTTTTGCTACTGACTTTGCATGCAATCGATTACATTGTTATTGCAATCGATTGCACTCTTAAAGATTTTGAAAAAATAGCTGTTAAAAACCTTGTGCAATCGATTTACACCAAGGGTGTAATCGATTGCATACTGCACGAATTTGAAAAATAACAGCTTTGTTCATGCCTTTTCGTCAAGCCTTTTCATTACATCTTTTCACTCAAACTTGGTATTTGTTCATGATACATTTCCAGATCTTCATGATGTTTCAAAAGGGTGTTATGAACATATAAATATTCAATTTCAAATCCAGATCTAACACCTTTCTTTCAAAAATATTTCCTGAAATTTAAAAATACAAACTCAAGCATTCTCCATTTTCATGCATAAGTTTTCTGCACATTTTCATACATTAACAAACAGAAAACTTTGAGCAAATATATCTTGAGTCTTTGTATAATATTATTATTGCAAGAAGAAGATTATACATTATCAAATCACTCTAAGTGATCAATATTAATCTACTCACTCAAACTCACAAATTAATATTTACTTACTTATTTTCCAGGATTGTTGGAATTAAGTTTAAGTGTTTTTGTTGAAATCTTGTCTTTCCAAGTTGTTGGATACAAGTGTAGTTACATTGAGATTATTGTTCTCATATGTAACTTAGTGAAAATCCAAGAGGATTGTTCTTGGTCCAAGAGGATTGTTCTTGGTTTGTATGGTAGTTCTTGATTAAGTTTGCCACAATAAGGAAATCTCTTTCATGTTGAAAGGGGATTGGAGTACTCTCGGACTGTGAGGGGAACCAGGATATATCGCCCGTGTGTCTTTATTTTTATGCATTTTTAAGCTTTACTAAACTCACTTATAACCAAAAAAATAAGAACCATCATCACTAAAAACCAGAATTTTTAAAGTACCTAATTCACCCCCCACTCTTAGGCGCACTTCGTACTTACATTCATCTGCTTCCATTGCTTACTCTTGATGTTCATCTACTTATGCTCACTTATGTGATTTACTTATCTTATGGCTTAATCCTAAGGGAAAGGAATGTTCATTTTAACCAATGTCAAATGCTTGCTCCATCTTGTGGTTAGTACATTTTTACACACAAAGGCTTTCTCTTGGGATAGCCTACAATGAGACCTATTATTTCATGTCATTTACTTTTTGCTTTAGGATAGTCTCTTCATATCCTATCCACTTCTTCAATTTTTAAAACTTTTCCCTATTTTCAAAACTTTTTATTTCAAACTTCAAACCTTTCTTAATAGACCTTGACTTTGTCAAGTGATCCCGAAAATCTTTTTCTTAATAAATGCTAAAACACTTAAGCATATTCAAACTCTTGTCAAAACTTCTTAAAAAGACAAACCTCATCAATTTTACTTTTGTGCCTTTGTGCACTTTTCTTTTAAAACCTTTTCAAAAGATTAAATATTAGTCTATTCTAGTAGTGATGCAAACCATTATACTTCTACAATATGTTATGAAGTGATTGGCATTTTCCACTTGAATGTTGAGACGTGCTTATGAGAAAGTCTAAGTAAAATTCTCCATATCAAGATGATACAAATCATCTTTCCTCATAATTGTGGGTAGTAAGTTGTGTCTTCCACTCGAATATGACAAAATGTATTTTTAATTAAAATCAATCAACAAACTTTTGTGGTTATTTTTACCATGAACTACGAGGCTCTGATTCCTTTCTTGCACTATGAGAATACGTAGGAATAGGACTCCCGATGTCTTGGCGAGTACAAACTTAATAAAATACTTCTTTTACCTCAATCTTTTTGTAAACAATCCAGTTTTATCGTAACACATTATTTTCAAGAGGTTCCTATGGAGTACCATAAATGTGAGGGGATGCTAATATATTCCCCTTGCATAACCAACCCTTGTATCTAGATATCTCTTTTGTTTTATCTTTTTTTACGTTGGGCTTTCTTGAACAATCCACCAGTGGAAGGAAATCGCAATCCTCAACAATCGCCTTCACCTCCTATGGCATCACGACGGATGATAAATTCTTCAACTTCAACCTATGGGTGGGAACCGTCGGCATAATTCAATCCTGTAACAAAGTAAATATCATCAATTAATTTCAAAGTATCAATAATAAATAAAGCTAACTTATCGACATTTCATATACAAAGTAAAAATCATTTGTTAATTTTAATGTATCAATAATTTCAAACTAATATGAATGCCACATGATCCACATATCCAGTGAACACAAAACATTCATTCGGTCCACCAGAAAACCCTTCATCTGTATGTACAAATAGCTCTGTCAAAGTTGAAGTAGTGATCTCTGTCTCAACAGAAGGAGTAACTTCCATATCATTTCTACCAGGAGCCTTAGTAGCCGTATATAGAGTAGGCGCCTCAATAGATGTATGCGGAGTAACCTCTGCAGTAGTCGGAGCCTCTGCCTCGGAAGCATGGGGCACATATGTCGTCTCTAAAGGACGGGGAACATTTGTCTCTTCCACTATTTACATGTCATCCTGACTGCTGCCTGAACATCAACTGGATCATCATCATCATCTTTCGTCCATCTAGAAGAAAATCTAGATCCTCTATGTCGGGTAGTGTGGGGTGCACAAAACTGAAACTGATCGGCCAACCGCCTCTTGTGAGAATCAGGTGGGACTACTTTCCCCGCCCAGAGATACGAGTCATCTACATCATCTCGCCTCGCTCAAGCCGTCGCATCATGAGCTTCAGCTCTTTCACGGTGTCGAGAAACAATCGTCCCATCTAATTCTCTAGTTATCACTGAAAAATAAAATTATTTAACCTATCGTATTTTTCAAAATATCTGGTGCCATTATCTCCGAATTAAAAAAAAAAATCTATAATGATGCTTAACAATTTTCATATTTAAAAAAAAACACGGTAAAACATTTACGTTTTTATCGGATTTTCAAAAAATCCAAAAATATGTATTCTTTATTATCGAATTTTTAAAAAAATCTAAAAAAATAAATACATTTTTATTAAATATTTTCATAAATACATGAAAAATATATATAACACTAAAAAATGTGGTAAAAACTTATGCTTACTGATTAAAAATTGTAAATGTCCAATAGCCTCTATGAAAAATTTGAAATCGCCAGAGATTTTAATAAATTTGAAATGAAACAATACTTTTATGAAATGTTTATTAAATTTTTTACAGAGTTAAAATGATAATTGCATAGGAGTGCCAACTCAACCTGTGTGTGAGGATAAAATCTCGTTAACTGCGCACGTGAATATCCGTTAGTAATTGGGCCGAACAACAGCCCATTAGTATTACTCCTGTGATTGACAAAATAAAAACTATATAATTAAAAGTTCTTACGAATTTGACATATGATTCAGATTTTATAACATTACTTTCAATTAGTGGATTAGTGTATTTGGCATTATCTACATTTCTATATCTAATTTGGATTAACCCCTATAAACACGCTATAAGATTTTCCAATTTATTTTCTAAAAATAATACTATAATAAGAATTTTTTGAATAAAAAAAAGATAAAAATATATAATTATTATTATTTTAGAGAATCATTTTAAATTTAATTTAAAATTAATTTTTTTAATAAAAATAATAAAATAATGATCATAATAAATAATTGAGATTTAATTTTTATCTTTCTTATTTTCATATTTTTTTACTAATAAACATTTGCCACTTTCTAATAGGATCATTATAAACTCAAACTCACTCTTCCAAATGATTTCTTTAAATTAGAAGTTTTGGCACTAACTATGAAGATGCTACGAATTTGTCTTACTATACTCTTTTGAGAATATATTGTGACTCCTAATTGTTGTGTAGGTCGGTGGTCTATTGACCAAATTAAAAGGAGTCAATTAAATATATAGTAAATCTTATATTATGGTTAGCTAAGTTTCAACTAAACTTGACAAGTTTTATAAAATAGATAAATAATTTATTTTAGTCTCTTAATTATATCTTTGAATTCTGGTAAATTTTTAATTTTTTTTCTGTATCACATTAATCTTTTAATTTTTAAAATATTTTATTTTAGTTTTTTTTTTGTTTAATTAAGACGGTAAATTTTGAAATCGATGATTAAATTCATCGTTAATTAAATAAAAATAAAATATTTTAAAAATTAAAAACTTAATATATTAAAAAAATTAAGAGATCAATCTAAATTTAATAGTATAATTAGAGACCAAATCGATTATTTGCCTAATAATATAAAATAAGTGACGACCATACGAGGATTAGTTGATTTATATGATAATGATCTATAACTTCTATGTCCATCTTTCTTCCTTATCTTTCCTTTTTACTTTTTCGTTGTAAGTTCTATACACGTTATCTAAACGAATACGAATTTCTTACTATAGAAAACAATTGTAATAAGTTAATGATGATGGTGAGAAGTGACGAAAGAATCTCAATTTAGTTGATAGAGATTCTAAATATCCTCATGCAAATAGGGAAGATTGATCTCCCCAAATACATACAATGTGTAAAAGATTTATTATCCAATAGGTACCTAATTATAAATTGTTTTGGGCTGCGAAAAACCCGATACGAGTAAGATTCAAATATTCAGTCTAATAATATAAAAACTCAAATAAAATTATTTATCAATTATAATTGGCACACGTTAAACTAAAAATATATTTCTCTGATCTTATAACTTCATTTCATTAATCTTAAATTTTATAATTGACTTGGGTGTTAGCGTATTAACTTTGGAGGTCAACTCCTGTATTGTTGTATTGAAGATCAACATCACTGCATCAGAAGTCCATCATCAACAATCAATCATATTTTTTATTCTAGTACAGAATATTGACGCTGTCTATAAGAATCGACTTCTAATTTCTGCGAAATTCTACAATTAGACCGCCTCCGATCTAGAAAGTAGATCGCTATCTAAACACATTAAAATGAAGAAGATCACACTAAAAAACTGCTTAGAATCTCCCAATATCACATTGTTTCCAACCTTCATCAATGAGATCTGTGGGAAAATAATGTCTGACGACGATCATCTACCTCAAACCTCCTCCAAAAAACAAATAATAGGGAATTGCGAATCGAAGACATGCCAATGCTAGAATTTTGGGATCTGGATAAGGTAGATGGAATCCCTAACGCTACCTACCGCTAGTCATAGTAGCTACTGTGGCAAATCATATTGTATTTATTTCCTCGTAGACAATAGGGGTACGTGTAAAGTCCTTATAATGTCAACACACTCAAGCATATAGGACTCCACCACCAAGATATAAATCCATGCTAAGACAAAAGTCTCCTCGCATCAATGATTTCATAACTCTCCCCTATGCAGTAGTGGACTTACCGTTTTCACTCAGAGAAGGAGAAAGTGAAAGGAACGTATCTGTTGCACCCCAAAATTTGCCCTCCTAATTTCTTTTATTTTGGCTTAGACTTTTGCATTCATCTGCATCTATTTCATTAGGTCACTAACATGGCATACATTTCATTCAATATAGCTCTGAGGTTCAAAGTCCAGTGGTTGTGCGATACTAGGGTTTCCCAGTGGTTAAGGCGCTCGTATCCAATAAGGGATGATTTCTTATTCAGGCAGTAAGTGGTAGAATCAGGGTTGTAATCTGTGTCATTGAGAATTTCTGTCTTCGTCAAGCTACAAAGTTACCAGAGTTTACTTTCCTATGTACGATCGAAGCCAGGTTTTTGACAATAGTACTCTAATCAAGTTCTTCATCAAGGATTATGGTTTAAGGTTGCCACTTATGGCTATCTGAAGTGTCTTTCCTTCAGAATTAAAGACCTCCATCTGTCACCACTTCTTGGGTTTCCTTACCAAGGCTGGATTTTCATCTGAAGATTTCTCTTAAGTGACGAGTATTTGGTTCTATACCTTTATGTGAATCATCTGCTCCTATTTTATGGATAAAAGTTTTGTCGAAAGTATGGATGCCATTGGGATCTTATTAGGATTATCTTTCAGAATCCAAGGGTACATTCATTGTTGAAGCTCCTAGAGGTTGATTGTGCGTTGATACGGTGGAATAATCTATTCCCTATTTCACCAATTAGGGATTTGCATATCAGGATTCAAGGGTGTTTTTCCTGTCAACTTTGCCTTAAGATGCAAGGTTCTAGGGGATAGGCGATGCAAGTGTGAATTAAGGTTTCTAATCCTTGGTGTTTAGATCTGATTTGGTTTTCATTTGAGGCGTTTTCTTCATCGTAATCAAGTCGTGGCCATCTTGGTCATATTTCTTTTTGTATCCCCATGTTCACTTCCAAGTTGTTCTACAAGGTCATCTAAGGGCTACTAAATCAGGCATTCATTATCTCCTTGTGCTCAATGTTATCCTTTGATTATGGTTTATTTCCCTACGCTTGGATTTGTCGGATGAATTTGACAGGACTAATAGTCAGAGGTTCGTCGTCAATGACTAGCTAGGGTTTTCTTTCGACCTTTCTTTGTAAGTCAAAAGGGGGAACTTATTACTTCAATCACAAGCTATGTGATCAAAAACTTCATACAAAAGACAAATCTGGATATGCTGGTGCCCATTTTACCGTTTGATCTTTGTTTATCATTGATTCAAATAAATTCTTTCATTTAGCTGTGATGCTTGAGGATCAAGATGTTACATCGCTTAGGCCATACAAGTTATCTCTTTGGTTCCTACACAAGGCTTTGAGGTGAACGTGATATATTGGGTCATAGTTGCATCCAAGGTTTTGACAATATCTTACTTGAGTTCCTTTGATTGGCTAAGAGTGATCTCATGATGTGTTATATTAAAGGATACAATTTGAAGCAAAATTTGAAAGGTTAAAAGAAGCTTTTGGAGGGAAAGAAAGATTCAAGTCATATTTCATCTCCAAGATACAAGTATCATAAAACTCATCCGAGAAATATAGAAGAATCCAAATAAAGTACAATAATATGAAAGCAAAACTCAAAATCAAATGGAAAGAAAGTAGTTTGAATACTTGATAATTTGTCATGTGATTCAAGATTTCCCAAAGTGACATGTTATTCCAAGAGCATATTCCATTACCTTGGTTTGAAATGAATTACAAGCTCAAAGTCATTTACAATTCGCATCATAGTATTCAAAGTTCATCCAAATTAACCATTCATTATAAAACCATTACAATCCCATTACACCAAGAATCCACAAAGGAAACTGTTACAAAATACACTTGAACACATTTTTTTTAGTCCTAAGGGTGCTAAAATTCCATGAGTAAACTTCCATGCCATGCCAAGGTTCTCCAGCTTCATCTCTATGATGTTAGGGGATAGCTTCCACCACAGCTACATCAAACTGCATTGGATGGGACACCGCAAAGAGTTCTTTCTACCCTTTTGCACTCATTTTTTGACAGCAGACGTGGTGGAATACCTTTCCATCCCGCCTCTCTTCCAGTATTAGGCCTATCTGAAGGTGATAAACAACGCATACGTGACTGTAGCAGCATAATGGCCAGGCATCTCTTTGCAGATAAAAGCGGAGAATTTATCCATGCCCAGGTAAATGCTCTTCTGTCCTCTCTAGATATTGACAGCAACGTTCATGACAAGGGACCTATGCCTGAAAAATTTAGGGAGCTTGATGATTATTGGAACAAGTCTCAAGGCAATGTAATACAAGATGCTCATGCTGCAATACTGGATGAAAAAAAAACTAGAAGTGTCCTTTGACAGCTTCCCATACTATTTAAGCAAGAATATAAAAAATGTCCTGATTGCAGCTTGTTTTATATACCTGAAGCATAAAGAGCATGCAAAGTACACCACAGATCTCACCACCGTAAATCCCCGTATTCTACTTTCAGGACCTGCAGGGTCAGAAATATATCAGGAGATGCTTGTAAAAGCACTTGCGAAATACTTCAGTGCTAAATTTCTCATATTCGATAGCCAATTGCTTTTGGGTGGTTTATCTTCTAAGAAAGCTGAGCTTCTCAAAGATGGATTTACTGCCGATAAATCTTGCAGCTGCCCAGGCAAAACAAAAAGCTCATTCTCAGGAAGAAACTCCTAACCCATCCACCTGTTAGGCCCTTCATAGAAAATGGGAAATAGAAAATCAATTAACAGCTCGGCTCAACAGCTTAGCAACTAAACTTCTAACAAAATTTTCTAACTAACTCTAAACAGTTACTAACTCCTAACCAATTCTATAACTAACTCTAGATAACCAACTAACAATAACTAACTGCTTTCTAACAGATTTTTGAAAGCTATATAACAGGGGGGATCATTATTCAAGAAAAAGAGGGGATTCATAATAGAAAAAAATTCACAAAGAACTCACAAAACCTCTGCAGCCTCCACCTCTGAACCATACTCTCTTCAAACCTCGACCTCCATCTTCAATCTTCACTTTCCTTCCTCAATCTCACAACTATTTGCACCTTCAATCATCACCCACCTTCATTATTTATCTATCTCAAGTTCTCTCTGTACTCTCTCAATTTTCTCGGCTTCATCTTCTTTGATCATCATCATCTCTTCAAATTTCATAATGATCATTCACAGAATTCTGAAGTCACTCTCAATTCCCTCTCCTCTGCATAAAATCTCTCTGAATCAGAGCATCTTCAATCTCTGTTCTTCCTCGCATAACATCACAACTGCATTTATCTTGCACCATATCAACGTGCAACTCTACATATAAGCAACAACAATTCTAAAAGAATTCAATGGTTCTCATAAACATTCGGAAGATAACCAAAGAAGCATGAAAGGAATAAGGAGAAGAAGAATTTAACCTCTGGATTTCTCGCTCAACGTCATTGTTAAAGAGCCACCAGAGTATCTTTGGCCAGTAAGCTTCGACATTCCTCTGTCTTTTTTCTTTCGCCCTTTTCTACTGATTGTTGTATCATAGAATCTAAATGAGTCAGAGGCGTGATATACGAAGGATAATACCATAGTAAAGAGGTGAGAAACTCGTACTTGATACAAAAGTTTGAAGCACGACGGATCATTTCCATCAAGGCCTGCACTCGTTTCCGCCGGGGTTGTTGATTTCTAACTCTCTTCTTTCCTGTCTTGATACCAAGTTGTAGAGCATGAGTGGAGGAACAAAACTCCCATTGAATCATATGCGGAAGCTTCGATAGAAGCGTTTAATTTATGATCTAGAAAACCTAGGGTTTCAGTGATGACTTGAGATTCATAAAGGTACGAGCAGAGTCAATGGAATGAGGTCGAGGGTAATTGAGGCCGAAATCGGAAAAGAATCCCCTGAATCGCTCTATCTTGATTGAACTCAAAAGAAAACCTCTCCTTCATTCATTCAAGGTGGAATCTGAAGAAGACATGTTACCTTGGCTATGCCAAGCGATTGGCCTCCTCGTTGACAGGTTGCATCAATCTTCTCTCGGCGCTTGGGAGGAGATAAGTGGAGAAGGTAAGGGTGAGGAGGTTGAGGCTGCCATTTTGAGAAGAAGCGAGAGGGAGAAGAAGTGACCGCGCCGCTGATGTGTTGGTGAAGAAGAATCGCGATGGTGAAGGCAAAGAGAGAATCACCGGCCGCCGTTGTAAGAAGAAAGAGGTTAATCGGAGTTGAAGATCAATGGATTTTCGCGGTGCCGGTTGAGACGAAACCCTATCTACTCTCCAAACGCGGCGTTCTGATGTATTCTCTAACCATTGTTTTTTTTTAAATAAATGATAACAAAAATGGGAATTGGACTTGTGTGAAGGATCATGGACCGATCCACTTCCCCCTAGGCCTAATGAAAGATTTTGTGTACAAAAAATGCTTATTGGACCTTTTCTTCATGGGCTTAATGCCTCAACCCGCTTCTACACCTCCCTAGATTCCAGTTCATACCTCCTTCTGATTCATTGTTTTTTTTTGTTTTAATTTTGTTGTTTTAATTCTTTCACCAAATTTTCTTCGGCTGTTTTTTCTATGATAAAAACAATATAAAAAAAATAGTAGCATATATTTTTTAGAATATTTTAGAATTTTTTAGAATTTCTTTTTTTAGAATTTCGATTAGAGTTTCTTTTTACTATTTTATTTTTCATATTTGGTAATCATTTTTTGCCATTTTTAGTCAAGATTTTTGTGATAGCATCGATGTAATTCTTGCAATGGGAAATGCTTGGAGATTAATTTTTTATCACTCATGCGGAGCAACTTCTGTAGAGTTTTCTTATCACTTACGTGGCTTCGAAGAGGCAACGGACCTTCTCCGTTCGGTATCGTCACAACCCTATTTTTTTCTCTTCATTTCCATACTTTACCGCCATCCATATGCATGCTAACATCAGGTAGAATTCCTTTGAAATATATAATTTTAGGTCTAACAACGCATGATAAAATTAGGTTTAGAAATAGGCTAGTCTTCATGTGACTTTCTTTCTCTTTTGCATATGAATTTAAAACAAAAACATTCTTTTTTACAAACTTCAAAATACTAAAAATTTACTGACGAGAATCATATCTTCGTTAAGTCTGTGAGACGATAAGCGGGTTTCTTCTCGACATTATTGTTCTCTTACTCTAAGCTTTGGTGTGGTTCAAGTCTCAAAGACTCATTTCATGAATAAGTAGAGAAATGGCTAAAATCTCTCCCTTGAGATTAACTAGCTATTATCTACAAGCAAAAACACCAACAAACATAAAATTCTTTTTTGCCTTCGGGCCTTCCTTTCAAACTTTTTTTCAGAAAGAGTGTATTAATTCACTTCTGTGCTGACGCGTAAATCTCCAAAGGTCGAGTTGCGGCAGAAGGCGAAATTACTATCGTTCATTCAAAAACAAACAAGTTCAAACCTTTTTTGTGCGTCTAGGCACATTTCTTTCCAAACTTTTCAAGAGAGCATGTTAATTCACTTTTGTGCCAACGCATAAGTCTCCAAAGGTCGAGTTGCGGCAGAAGGCGGAATTAACTTCGTCCACAAAAAAAACATCTACAACAAAATATAAACCAATTCAAATCTTTTGTGCGCTCGAGCACTTTTCTTTAAAACCCTTTTCAGGTAAGGACATGATTAATTTACTTCTGTGCCAACGCATAAGTCTCCAAAGGTCGAGCTGCGGCAGAAGGCGGAATTAACTTCGTCCATAAAAAACACAAACAAACAAAAACATATGAGCCGAACTACGGCTGCTCTGATTCCTTAAAAGGGGTACGTAGGGATTTGGGTAGGGCCCAAGCGAGAACAATTTTATTTTCCCTACATTCTTTTCTCCTTTCTTTTGCATGCATTCTCTCTTTAGCAGTAATAAACAGTAAGCATAGATTATACACACCCATAAGATAAACAACAAGAGTGGATACTGTAGAGTACTACGGGCGTGTAGGGTGCTAATACCTTCCCCTCGCGTAACAGACTCCCTTACCCTTATCTCTCGGTCGTTCGACCTTGATTTCACCTTTTTTAGGTTTCCTCGATGTTTACCTTTCCCTTCATATGGGATAAAAGACGTTCGATGGCGACTTCATTGTTTGATGATTTTCTGCCGGTTGTTTCAGCTGGCGACTTCACTGGGGACAGGTCGACCAAATGCTGGTCCATCCCGGAGTCGCTCCTAGCTCTTGCTTTCTTTTCTTTGGGTGTTTATTTTCATGCTTTCAGTTTACTCATTTGTACATTTTTGCCTGAGCATAAGTTTGCATTGCATTTTATTGCTTTCCCTATTTGTTATCTATTATACTGGACTCTGTTTTCCATGTTGAGTGGGGATGTCACTATTGAGGTAAAAGGCCCAGTACCCAGGCCAAAGTGCACTAGGACACTAGGAATAGAGTGGGGGCATGACGACTATAGGACGTGGTCCGATTAGTGCAGTCTTGTCATATACCACGCTCTGATGAGGTTCAAATGAATTACTATCGGCACCCACATCTGTGGGTAAGCCCATAGCACTTTCAGGAGGACCCATGATTTTCGAGTTGCCATTGTCTTACCCTGACCTAGTCTTCACCCGTGAGGGGGGAGGGAATCTTATCACAGGTACAGTTGGTGACTATGTTCAAATGGTTACTTGTGCTCAGGTGGTGACTATGTTTAGATGGTTATCTATGTTCAGATGGTTATCCATGCTCAGATGGTTATCCATGTTCAGATAGTGACTATGATCAGACGGTGATTATTGGTTCTAATGATCGTGTTATGGACTTCTGTCAATGACTTGTGCATATGGTGTTCTGTTGGTGACCATATGGTTCTCAGATTTATTTTCTGAGTTCCTGACTTGCTTACTTGGAAGTTCATTCAAGCCTTTGATCTTGGCATTCCCAGCATACTCAGAATTGCTCAACCGTATCTGATGTTCCTAAAGCCTTGATCTCATGCTACTTAGATCTACATAGTACTCAGCTCTTATATGTGCGGAAGCTATGCCATACCTTTGATTTGATGATATTCATATGGTTCAGAACAACGCAACAACCATATTCAGAAATGATGGAACTTTGATCCCATTTGACCTCATGCCTTTGCATATATAACATGGTTAACCGCATACTTAACATACATGTTCTGGGATTTCCAAGGAATCGTATTTGTGAGCCTAGTGCCAAACTTTTCCATCTTTTACTTACGTAAAATCAAAGCACGTAAATTCCTTGGAAATGACGGAACATGACATGGCATCCGTTCATGCATATTAATGCATCCATAACAGGTACTCAAAGATTGGGGATTCTTTTTCGGACATGGTTCTCCTTGGAGGTTTAGCTTTGATTTCTTACTGCACTTGTTCAGGGATCGGTTAGGGAATAACTCCATATGGTATACCTACAAGCTTTGGTCCGTGGTCAGAAATTTCTTCGAACAGGAAGATAATTGATTAAAGACTCAAGATGAACCAGGTCATGGAAGTTCTAATGATGATCAATAAACTTATGGCCGCGGCAAGTTCTCTCTGCACCTCATCTTCTTTTGGGAATTGCTTCCAACTATGGAGTGCTACGCAATCCTGAGTTCTTGGAACATCTTATCAGCAGATGCTTCCCATTTTACCATAGGATCTTATATCAATTCTTCGTTCTTATTGACCAACATCAGATATGGTTGCCACACCGGGGCATCAGACTTTTTAACCAGGGGAATCCTCCATAACTTTGTGTTCCCTATTTTGTTCCACAAGAGCCAGTCTTTATTCCCCAACTGAATTCATGGGGAAAGTTTTTAAGCCAAGACACAAGAACCCTGATGAGCATGCTAATGCGAGCCCAATGCATTACATCCTATTATTCCCAGTTCTTCCCAGCTCTGATCTTTGAGGACTTCCTCCCACAAACGTCTCTTCTGATTACGATATGTATGCTAGATACACCTCCTATTCTGGGGTACCTGGTTTTGATATTGAAGACTACAAAGGAGTTGAAATATAAAGACCATCACCTGTTTGGCGTCTCTTCCAAAGGTCCAATTCCTTTTTGGCCAATTGCCACATTCTTTATCTCCAGGTGGATGTCTATATTTTGTTTTGATAGAAGACAGACTGTATTAATTTTTGTGGCGTAGTATGCCTGATGATGCAGTTTATGATTCGCTTGGTAAAGCATTCATTTTTTCTCCTAAAAGAATCTTCTACGCATATCATTATGGGGCAATTGATTATTCAATTGAAGATGGTACATCATCTAGAGACAAGGTCTAAGACGAGATCAATCCGGAGACTGTGGTGTCCAAATCTGGAATTCTCTCACTCACCTCATGCATCTTAATGAACCTTCATGCATCCATAGCAGGTACGCAGAAGATTCAAGTTATGAAAAGAATCAGATGGGGCTATTTATTGGGGATATGCAAACGGTGGCCTGTAGTCAGAAATCCTCAAGGAGAAATAGTCAGTTGAAGACTTAGTTGAGTCGGGTATGGAAGTTTTGAAGACGGTGTCGGCAAAGAAAAGTGATCCTGTATACGTTGTTGCAACAGGAGTTGTCATTTATCCCCAGCCTACGGGACATTTTTTTCAAATCATGAGATACTTTATGGGTCTCACCCAGAGCTTCGTGTTCTCGAATTTACTTGCTAACATCTAGTTTCTGGTCTCCAAGTGGACCCATGGGGTAAAAATTACCAGCATAGGCAAAGAAAGCTTGAGAGGCAGGTTGATAAAATCTCTATACCTTGT